GCCGTTTGTGCTGTGGGGATTATGCCTTGACTCTATCTTATCTGCTATCACTTTTCTTGCCTGAGAGCATCTGTCTTGCAGAAACACCTCAGGGACTAAGCTCTTGGGGAGAAAAAATGCCTTGGCCACGGCACACAGGGTTGCTTTCGGGCAAGGAGTGGCCTCGCTGAGTGCCCACAATGCAGCCCCGCAGCCTTTTCAGGCCCGCCCCGCTGCTGGGCGGCACCACCGCGGGAATCAGAAATTCGCAGAATTAATTAGGTTGGAAAAGACCTCCGAGATCATCGAGTTCAGCCTGTGACCCAGAACCAGCATTTGAACTAGACCAAGGCACTGAGTGCCACGTCCAGTCTTCCCTTAAACACCTCCAGTGACAGTGACACCACCACCTCCCTGGGTAGCCCATTCCAAGGTCCAATGACCCTTTATGTGAAGAAATTATTTCAAATATCCAACGTAAAACTCCCCATATACTGCTTAAGACCATGTCCTCTTGTCCTGTTGCTTGCTGTCTGGAAGCAGGGCCTGACCCCCACCTGCCTCCACCCTCGTGTCTGGGAGTTGTGAGGGTGAGAAGATTCCCTCTGAGCCTCATTTTCTCCAGGCTGAGCCCCCCCAGCTCCCTCAGAGGCTCCTGGTGCTCCAGCCCCTTTCCCAGTTCCATTGCCCTTCTCTGGACATGCTTCAGCACCTCCATGTCCATTTTGGCGTGAGGGGCCCAGAACTGGACAAAGCACAATCCCTTCCCTGGTCCTGTTTCCTGCTGTTGAGCAGCACCCCAGGGCCTTTTCCACTGTGCTCTTTCCAACCACGGTGCCCCAAGGAGTGAAGTGACAAGACAGCAGGACACAGGTGTTCCATGGTGCATCACCATGGCAATGGAAACAGATAAATCAGGTGATCCCAATCCAGCTCCAGCTCACACCTGGCCCCATGTGGCCCAAGGTACAGACAGTAACACGAACACCATAGCCCCAGCACCGACACCTTTATTGCTGCTCAGAAGGAGGAGGGGAGGAGTTGGCCCAGGGCAGGGGACTCCCAACTCATGAAAGGACCAGGTGAGGCCCCAGCTGGGGGTCCAGGCCAAGGCAGCAGTGCAGGACAGTGGCAGGACTAATGGTCTTTGGCTCAGGCACGGAAGCAGGGAATGGTAAAGTGGTGAATGGAGCATATTTAGTGCTGAAGGGCTCTCATCGCCTTATCTTCATCCCCGGGGCTGGAAGTGAACGTCTGCTCCAAGCAGCAGGAAATTCTGGAAGAAAGAGAAAAAGTACTGGGCTGCTATGGGTCCTGGCAGCTGCATTGCCCAGCACCCACATCCCTGAAGGGAGAATGGATTAGCACATGTGGCTCTGCCAGCCCCTATGCCTATTTTTCCCCCCTGGCAGGCTCTGGAGAAATTTCACAGCCACATCTCACTACAGTTATTTGGCATCCCCATGGTGACCCCACTTTGGGGCTTCCCCAAGGCAACCCACCATAGGGGCTCTCTCTGCTCCCCTGGACCTGGTACAGCTCCTTACACCAGGGCAAGTAGGAACTTCATCCAACCAGGCATCACAGCACATATAGGCATTGCAGGTCAGGGAAAGTGGGGATTTGAGGCTGATGCTGCTATAAAAAGTGTCGTGGGAAATTCAGATCCCACGGGATGAACGGGAGAACAATGTGGTGCCATCCCAGACTCCCACCATGCAACCAGGAAAAACAGAGCCCTGCTTTGCTGCTGAGAGCACACTTCCTAACTATTATTTCCAGCACAGCAGGGGAAACTGGATTTGGAGGCTGTGCTGCTAAGCTTTAGGGGCAGCAGGATACACCCCAGCTGGGACCAGGTGCTCCACCCTCACTCACCTGGTAGAATTTCACGAGGATATTGGAGAGCTGAATCCTGTCCAGAAGCGGCAGAGGGAAACCCTCATCTAACCGGGCTGGAAAAGACAACACGTGTCTACACTGGGGTGGGAACGGGAGTCAAGGAATCACAGAGCACACAGAGAAGATGGCCCCCTCCTCCCCCCAGCCCTTTCCTCTCCTCCTCTGCTCCTGGGGCAGGCAGAGGAAACTCCTCCCAAGCTCCTGGGGCAGGGCTGTGTGTAGTGCCACGACAGCCCCCTCCAGCCACCAGCCCCACTCTGGTCTGAGCTGCTGGCGAGGCAGGAGAAGCAGGGATTTGAGTAAAGGGTCTGGAAAGCATTAGGATATGCATAGGGCTCATTTTTTCCATTGCATTTGCTGCTGGGAGCCTGTCAGAGCAGCAAGAGGCTCCCACTGCTTCACTGCTGCCTCCTGCATGCACTATTGCCTGATCAGCCTTGGCAATGAGGATTTCATTAGTGAGCTGGGACCACTTGAATGGAGCAACCTGAGTAGAGGGTGCTCCAACAACCCCATTCCCTCCAGTATGTTCTCACCATTGAGACGTGGGAGCA